AGTCTTGGAACTTGCCTAGTGGGTACATTTTGGCAACTGCCATTTTGTACCTCAAGATACATGAGATAGTTCCATGAGCTCTATATGAATTCGATTGGCTTATGTAACAGATATTCATTGATGATACATAAAGTCCTCAATAATAAGGGAAGTTCCCCCAAAACGTAAACTTTATGGTCTTCTTTGGCTTAGAGTAAAGTTGCCATGCAAATCTGTGGAGCAATAGTAAGGGCGCATTATATAGATGGACATGACACGGAGCAGACTGTGCCTTGGCTTCACACTGGGAGAGCTAAGCATGTGAAGACTAAGAAAATCAGGTTCAATTGGTCCAGCAGCAGCATCTCAGAGAAAAATGGGTAAAGGAAATGTGGAAAGGGGGCTTAAGTACCAGGCTCGAGGACATTGGTTCAACCTTCTGGTGTCAAAAGGAGCTGCTGAGACAGCGTGGATGCTGTGCTCCTTATGCGATATTTCTGGCAGTCACTAATTTGTCTGAAGAACTCCATCTATGTGGAACTCATGAAAACAGAGGCTTCAGATGGAGAGGTGGCTTGAAGTAGCTGACGAGACCCTCACAGGCCTGGGAGAGTTCCCATTACCATTTATCCCTTCAGGATGACTTGGGTGCGCCTTTTAGTCCACATTCAAATCAGCTTAAAATATTAGAAATAACCAGGAATTTGGTCATTAAATTAAGTACTTATGACTAGAACGATCTCTTTTAACCTTTCAAACAGTTAACTTATTGTCTTTATCAGGACTATACAATTGCTTTAAAACTTCATTTAAGGGGCTGGAGAGGCTAAGCAGTTCAGAACTCCTGCTGTTCTTCCAAAGGACCTGTTTTCAAATCTCAGCACTCATTCTCCAAAGCTCCAAATTCAACCTGGACACATACAGACAAAACAAAACTTAAAAAAAAAAAACTATGTTTACACAAGCCACTGTAGTGATCTCTCTCTCTCTCTCTCTCTCTCACACACACACACACACACACACACACACACAATTTCCTGGCAATACAATGTTAATCCCATTGTCTTCATTTTCCATATGAGATACTATGACATAATTATGGGAAAGTATTCAGTTTAAAACTATTCACTTGCTTACTCCATGGGAAGTGCATTGTCACCTAGAAAATGAACAAATACACTCTTGTGCTGAGTTGAGCTTTTGAGTACAATGTGTCTTGAGCTATGGAGTATAATGCCTGCATTTGTTCTCCATGCTCGTTACTGCAGTGGATGCAATCATCACCAGGGAGAATGAAAAAGAAGCACAATTCCATCATTACAGGTGACTAATTTATTGTCGGCAGGGATGGTGCCTAGCAAGGAGATTGTCATACATTATTGAGAGTTTCATATGCTTTTGTTTTTTCAAGGTTTCTTTTTTAATTCACAATGTACCCGCAGTCTCCCATCACCGTAAGGGATTTCTTATGAACAGAGAACAGAGCAAAACAAATACAAACTTCTGAGATTGGGGCTTCAAAAGCTAGTTGGCGTTTGTACCTGCTGCTAGACTTGGGAGTAGAACACTTCCTAGGGACCAGACAAAGCTGGAGTTCCACAAAGGTGTGCGGCAGTAAGGCAAGGGTTATCTTTGGTAGGACATTGATGTATCCCCATAATAATCCTTTTCCCATCAACTTAAAAGGATAAAATCAGTTTTTCACCTGGTGATGTCTCAAGTTCTCTGAACGAGACAATGGTGTGAGATTAGACATCATTTGTACTATAATTGAAGCTGCCTGCACCCAGACTCCACTGTGAATGACTAAGTGAAGGAAATAAACAATTGAACAGAGTGGTGCTTGTGATTTTTTTCAAAGAGGGTGAAGCACATTTTCAACAAATGTGATGTTTGATGAGCAGAGGTAAGTAAGTAAGAGTACCTCTACGAAGGGATCAATTTCACTGATCCTTGGCGCTCCTCAGGCCTCTTGTGATTTTAATTAAGAAGATACACATAAAAGCGGCACATGGCAGCACCTTTATCTTAGAGGAAGCTTTGCTTGGCCCATGTGATTTATGATGGGGCTGACTTCACAAGGCCGATGCTTTCCAAAGGCCTGTCATTGCCAGGGGATTTGTTAATTGAACTGCAGCACAATCCGTGGGAAGATGTACGGTGCTGTCATCGGGGGCAGGAAGAAGGATGGGATGACTTCACCTCTGAGCCTTTTCCAGTATCATTATCCTTAGATCTATATAAAACAAAGCCTTTGCCCCTTTGGATGTTTTCTTTACAGTGGCTTGGTCTATATTTATTACAGAGGCACTGCTAAATCAGGCTTTGCAAACAGTTCCTGGACTATGTTTAGAAGAGTTGTAAACCATACTATAAGACTTGTACACAATTCTGGCATTACTTTTTCCAATAACATCAGCTTGTTCCTCCTGGGTTGGCTGACTAATAGAATTATTAAAAACTTCCCCAAGTCATGAAAGAAATATCAATGATGATGCTCAGCAATTCATATTCAAATCAGGTAACCAGACAATTATTTATTGGGCACCCATTGTCAGCAGCTGATAGAGGTGCCGCGAGGACAGACCTGGGAAAGATGCAGCCTTTGTCCTCTAGGAAAATGTCTAGGAGCCAGGGGATTGTATTCCATGACACCAGAATAGAAAAGAAGTTGAAACTTAACCAGCTTTCTCGGCATCTGACATATCTTGCTAGCGTCATGTCTTTCTTACTGAAATTATGATGTCCCTAAATATATCTTATTATATATTATGAGACTCTGGATCCTATTTTACTGTTGTAGTTTTTAGACAAACTCTTACTATAACCCAGAGTAGCCTGGAACTTCCTTTGTAGGCCAGACTGGGCCCAAACCTGTAATCCTCCTGCCTCAGGCTGCCAAGTGTTGCATTTACAGGCATACACCTCCATATGACTGGGTCCTACTTTAATCTTTTATTTTAACAGGTCAACTGTCCGTGTTCACCACAGAGATCTTAGTTTGCTGTTATTCTGATGACAGTTTAAATCACAGGGACTTTGTTATTTTGGTCTGCTTGGTTTATCCAGTCTTAATGGTCCATTGATGTTATTGCTTTAGGTGATAGTAGCATTTTCCTTGGGCCAGATCAACCTGGTGACTCTGATAGACAAGAGTGTGTGGACCACAGTGAGGAAGACTTCCTGGGTTGGGCACCTCTGTGGTTCCATTGGATGATATCCTAGCAGGTGTAGGGCCTGAAGGAAGTGGAGAGCTGTGCTTGGGTGCTTCTCTGTGGGGCTTTGGACACACTGATAGCAGATGATGCCACTGCCCTGGTGTTACGAAGAATATACCATTCTATCTGAAGTGGGGTGAGCCTCCCAGGTGGCCTTCTGTTTCTAGGCTGTATGTTGGGGACACCGGCACTGAGTCATCCCTTTTCTCCATGGTACAGACATCAGAAGGCATCTTGTAGCTGTCGTTCCTCTAGCCATAGGAACCTACACCAGCTTGTGTTTCTCTTCCCGTCTGAAGAGTTCTTTTGTTATCTTGTTTAATTATTATAGAATTATATTTACACACAGTTTAAAATTGTACTGAGGGAAAAACAAGAATAAATTTGTGTTCTCTGGTCAAGGATAGAAATCAAAACACAGTATTTTAAGATTTGTTTCTATCTGGACTGTGTTCCCTAAACCAAAAGCACATTCCAGAGTTTATTTTTATGGGCATGTGTTCCAAACGAGTAAATCTGGCTACCTGAAGAGGGGAACGCTTGAGCTTCATACTGTACTTCCTTTCTGCAGCTTTGACTCCCACTCTGCTGTGGTCACTATGCCCATACATTCACCAAACACCCAAGTGTTTTCTATGTGGCAGCACTACTAGGTACTAGCAGTTGGGAGAGTGTTAAAACTGTCTTTCCTGTGGGCTGAGCAGATGGCTTGAGTTCAGATCCTCACCACCCACACTGTAAAACCCCAACATGTGTGCCTGAATCCCTGTGACAGGGACAGACAGACATTTTAGTCAAGATGGTGAGCTCCAATTTCACTGAGGCCTCCTCTAAAATATAAGGTAGAGAGTCCGAGGAAGACACTTGATGCTGAACTCTGATCTAACACACACACCACACTTTTAACTGAAGCTCATGAATGGGATACCTAACGGCAACGGAAGTGACCAGGACCTTAGTAGATGGGATGTGGACTTGGTAGGCTAGGAGAACTAACACACCATTGGAAAACTGTTAAAAGTCTTGAAAACCAATTTTAGAATAAAAATGTTTAGTTTTTTGTTTTGCTAAATTTGATGTGACAGCAATCCATCCTAGTTGAAAACTGCCTAGCATGAAGATTCTAGAAACACACCCCCATCTGGCCTCATCCGCTTGTCATCAGTAGAGAGAAGATTAAGAAAGCGAAAGAATCTCTGAGAAATAAGCGGTTTTGACAATGAGGGACAGTTCAGGGAAGCTCCAGGCCCACCCTCCCTCTGCCTCTCCCCCTCTAGGTGACCTCATCTAAGTATGAAGCCAGCCCAGCTAAACAACCACTTCTACTCAGTGATTTCCATCCCTCCCAGTAGAACAGACACCACGATGCCATCCGAATGCAGAGTGAGTACCCAGTGGAAGCATGCGCAGGCTGAGGAGAGACGCCTGTGAGGAAAACAGCCTCTCTTCTACTTCTGTAAAACTTTGTGCTCGTTTTTATAGGGAAAACACGATTTTCTGAAGCTTTCAGAATCAGCCACGTTGTATTTCAGGGAAGCGTTACATGCAGCTGAAAGTCAGACTCAGGGCCAGGGAAACGACTTGGCTTCCAAGTCTCGTGACCCGAGGACCCACGTGGAGTTTCAGGAGAGAACTGGCTCCTGAAAGTTGTCCTCTGACCTTAACGTGTATGCCATGGAATGACATAGCATCAAGAACACACATAAAGACACAATAAATAAATATGATACAGCTCTTTAGAGACTAAAAGAAGACTCATAAGCTACGGTAAATACAAAACCATTTTATTTGTGAACACGGGGAAGGAGAAGGCCAAACACTTTTCTGCACAGGCTTGTGTTTCTTGAGCAAATACATCTGAAGCTAAGAAGGACAAAAGAGGTTAATGACTGACGGGGGTGGGGGTGTAAGTAAAGTATTTTATACACATGTAACAAAATATCACAACGAAATTCAGTGTACTGAAGAATTCATATGTGTTTCAACAGAGGCAGTGCCCGAATGGAGAGTTACTCTGTAATACCACAGGCTCCAACTATCCACTTTGCTTTCTGAGGCTTTGGAATCTATGATCCAAACTGAGTAGAAAATTTCAGAAATAACAGTGTTAAAGAGAAAAGGAGGGGGCAGAGAAAAAATATCCAGCATGTACTCCAGGTCAACGGAACACTAGAATTCTAATTCTCCAAAGATTTCATTAATCAATACTTAGTATAAAGATTATATTTTTGTATTTTACAATTGAGAAATAATGTATAACTGAAATTAGAAGCAAAATAACAGAAAAAGTCGTATCTGATTTTATATATATATATCAGGACTCTAAAATTCTAAATATTGTGCTATTTGTCTAAAACCTAAAAGTTTTTCAGTTTTACGCTGAAATCTGCTCCATGTATGGATCAAGTCCTGCTTGGACACCACCCAGCATTGCCTGAACTCTTCCCCAGCGCCTTTGTTGGGGGTTCTAATAACAGGGATGCTCTTGCCTGAAACTATGTTCAAGGAGGGCTTCTTGTCAGGAATCCACAGGAAGGAATTCATTACTTCTCTTTCCTAAGGATGTTGGGTTTCGGGAGCCACAGAGGACTCCACCTGGAGAGCAATCGCTGACTCCAGTGGGATTTCTTGAGGAATGTACACTCACCTCCAAGTGACTGCCCCTGTTGCCTGAGTTTTAACATGGAGGTCACAGAGATGCAATTCTTACGTACTAAGTGTAGGATTTTCTTCAGATACTGTTTTATAGGTCTGTGTGTAAAGAATATTTTAATTTTTTATTTTTTTGAGACACAGTCTTTCTACATTGCCCCGGGGTATCCTGGAACTCACCACTGGACCAGGCAGCCTTGAACTCACAGAGATCCATCTGCCTCTACCTCTCTAGGCCTGGGATTAAAGGTGGGTGCCACCGTGTCCAGCTGAATATTTTAATTCTTGAGGTAGATTAAATAGGATAAATTGATACTAAACTTTAAAAACTAACAAAAAATGTATAGTTTGACTCATGGTTGTATATTTGAAGAGCATGCATATCTTGCAGTAAAATATCCTAAAAGTTCCAAAGATAGAAACAGAAACACTCAGGGAAAATATTCTTTTATTAGAAATTTCAAATTTTTAGTAGCACAGAAGGAAAATGGTGCAGACAGCTGACTGTTCTAGTCTGAAGAAGGAAAGTGTATGTGGTGTTTATTATGACGCACATAAAGGGGGCTCCCAAACGACATCTTACAGGCACATGCTAGACAAAAGTGATGAATGAGAAAAACATACCAGACCAGGGATTCTTGTCGAATTGACATGATAACTGTATGCAGTGCACACGGGCAGTAAATGCTGACAGAAGATGAACAAGCCAAGAGGCCCAAAGGTTGTGTTTTTAAAAAGAACCCAAACCATCATAATGGCAGGCTTGGAGACACTGCTCAGCCTGTGACTTACACTCCAAGTCCAAAGTCGTAAGGCAATGGCACTTCAAAGTTATGTAATTAGAGCAGTTCCCAGCTAAGGGCAAATTACATGTAAATTCTTCTCATTATCTCCACTCCCTCCTTTCTCTTTTTCTTGTGAGTGTGTGTGCACGCGCGCATGACCCACACACACACATGTAAACTGAGGTTTAAATTCAGGATTATGAGTATGCTAAGATCACTCTGCCACTTAGGTACATACTTCTGTCAACAACAAACAACACAGGAAAGCACATTTGAATACTCAATCTGACCTCAGAACCGGGACCTTGTTGTTTTGACTTGGCTTGTGGAAAACTCATGAGTCTATACAATGATGTCATAACCAAACAGATGGTCCAGCTCTCACAGCTAGGATGACTACTCATCTCCCAAATTATTCCCCAGTGTAAATCGTCTTGCTAGTATTAATTACTTTGCATCTATTCATTAGTCTGCTGCCTTTAGAGCACTAAAACTTCGAGGCAAGGAAGAAGTACCTTCGAATTATATAACACAGCACATACATGGTGGGACTCCAACCCCAGTCCTCAGCAAGAACAGTAAATGTTGTTAACTGCTGAGCCACCTCTCCAGCCCCTTAATACTTTTATAAAGTCCTATTTTGTTTCCCAACTTATAACAGAATGCTCCCTAGACCTACCAAATGTGTTCAGAGTTGAGACACTATAACTCAGCACTTACTATAATACTGTTCAGTGGGCATTGGACCTTATAATACCACATAATTGTAAGCATAGCATAACTACAGTTAAACTATGAACCATCTCATTGATAAAGAATCGTTCAGCAGTGAAGATAACCTGCATGACAGTGCACCAAGATTATTTCAGGTCATAATTATGAGCCTTTAGTGAGGTTCACCTTTAAACATATATAAAATGTAGACAGTGACTGTTGCTACATAGATAGCTTACAGCTTTATAGCTTTGATAAACCATATTTACCTGAGTTCAGAGAAAAAACAATTTTTAAGATTTCAGCACAATATATATAACATGAAATTGGGCATCCAACAGATTTAAGTGTTTAGCTTGGTGGCACTAAGCACTTTCAGTGTGTCACCATCAGTGCCATCCACTTCCAGAACCTTCTCATCTTCCCAATCTCCCCAGCTCTGCACCTGCTAACCACCGACTCCCAACCCCAGGCAAACACTGAGGCAGCCTGTCTGTCTTTCCATGACTGACTTATTTCATTAGCAGTTTCCCAAGGCCCATCCAGGTCATGGCACGTGTCATGCACACATTCCAGTGAGCACTGAGTGCTCTTCAGGGTATGTATGTGCCACACTTTGTTCATCTACTGATGCCGCGAGCACATTGGTTGGAGACAGAAAAAAGCTAAAGAAGGATGGGGTAGCACCATATAGAAATAGTGGCAAGTTTTCCTTCTATGACCTTCCTGCCACATAAGCCACGTCATATACCTTGGAATGTAAAGACAGACAAATTTAACCCAAAAGCTGACAAAGCAAAAACACTCTGGTAATGGCAAACTAGAAGGAAGTATGTGCGAATGAAGACAGAACAGTGAGCTTTTATTTTCAGATTAAGATTAAAGAGAGGCCGGGTTTAGCAGTGCCAGCCTTTAATTCTAGCTCTCTGGAGGCTGTGTGTGTGTGTGGTGGGGGCAGTCGGATCCCTCTCAGTCAGAAACCAGCTGGTCTATAGAGCAAATTCCAGGCTACAGGGCTACACAGTGACACACTGTATCAAAAAAATCAAACAGGATTAATGAAGAGATAGATAATTCATCTGTATTTGCATTTCTTGAGGCCTTTTTGTCTAAAAATAATAGAATTAAGTAAAGCATTCAACAGGCTAGAATTAGAATCTGTTTTCAGTTAGGAGAAATTAACAAAAAGTAAGATTTTTAAAAACAATTTTTTTATTTTTTAAAATAATATTAATTCTTGGAGAACATTGTTCGATTTATCTGGATCATATTCACCCTCCCTCCCTGACTCCTCCCTTTGGGTCTTCTTAAAAACCAATTAAATCAGCAGGGGTGGGAGTGGGGGTGGCAGGGGACAGGGAGGTGGCCCACGCCTTTAATCCCAGCAATAAGGAGGCAGAGGCAGGTGGATCTCTGTGAGTTCAAGGCCAGCCTGGTCTACGTGCTAGCTCCAGGACAGCCAGGGCTGTTACACAGAGAAACTCTGTGTGTGGGGGGGAGGGGGATGGGAGTGGAGAAGCAAAACAAAACAATCAAGTCCAATTGTGTTGCTCCGACATTCTTGAGTATAAGTCTGCCATGAGTGTGAATCACGTACCAGCAACCACACCCTTGAGGAAAATGGCCTCTCTCCCAGCAGCTATCAACTGCAGGTAGCTTCTCAGCTAGCGTGGGACTCGATGTCCACTTTGGCACTCTCAGCACTCTCCGTGCTGGGGTCCTGTGCGGATTTCAGCTCATGCAGGCTTTGTGCATGCTGTCACAATGGCTATGAGTTCATATGTACAGCTGTCCTGCTCTGCCTGGAAACACTGGTTTCTTAAACCACTTCTGGGTATTACAGCCTTTCTGCTCCCTCTTCTGCAGGGATCCCTGAACCTTGGCAGAAAGGAGGTGCTATGTCCCACTTAGCACTGAGCTCCCCACCGTCTTTCAGTCTCTGCATGGTAAGCAGTTTTGAGTTTCTATATTGCCATCTACCAAAAGAAGCATATTCCCTGTATTGAGGGCAACACTAATCTATAATAATAAACCATCAGGAATGACTTAATACTATGCCCATTTAGCAAAATAATGGTAGTAGATCACCCCTAGGTTCCATGACCTATCTAGCCATAGGGTGCTGAGCCAGATAACAGTGCCAGGCATGGGTTCCATCTCATTGATCAGGCCTTAAATCAACTCGGAGAGCAGCTGGTTGTTCCCATAGCACTCGTGGACATACGCTAACAGGGCAGTCATCACTGCAGCTCACAGGGTTCCCAGCTGGTTAAGAATGATGACAATCTCTCCCTTCCATAGCATGCACAGCACCTTCTAACACTATGGAATCTAGTCAGAAGGGATGATGCTTCCAGGTACACTTGGTTTCTCCATGTTACATAAAACAACTTGAAAATTAACGTACAAAAATGATTTTCTAATGATCATTATATTATTCATGCCATACTATATAAAGTACTAAAATAGATATAAAAGTTTAAACATCCTTAATTTGTAGCATGTGAAACATATTTCATACACATACTTAAAAACTTTATAAAAATATTTGCCCATAGGGCAAAACAACAAAGTGAAATTTTGGGGATATGGTAATATATATTTAAGAAAACAATCTGACATGCATTACATAAATTTCCAATTAAAATGCTATGAAACTAATTTAAATTTTATACGAATTTGCTCAAAATAGAATTTTAGAATCACTGTCTAGAATTGGAGGTACTTCCAAATGATTCACACAGGACTGTGAGGAGTTTGGCCACCACATGCACATTGAGACTGTTGCCAAGAAGCCGGTACCGCTGCTTCACTGTTATCTTCTCGGGAAACTCTAGAAAACAGAGGTGGCCTTTTCAGTATAGTTACTTGCAATGCTAATGTCCACAAATGAACCTTCATCTGGCGATGGATGGCGATAGAGACAGAGACCCACACTGGAGCACCGGACTGAGCTCCCAATGTCCCAATGAGGAGCAGGAGGAGGGAGAACATGAGCAAAGAAGTCAGGACCACAAGGGGTGCACCCACCCACGGAGACAGTGGGGCTGATCTATTGGGAGCTCACCAAGCCCAGCTGGACTGTGACTGAAAAAGCATGGGATAAAACTGGACTCTCTGAATATGGCAGACAATGAGGGCTGCTGAGAAGCCAAGGACAATGGCACTGGGTTTTGATCCTACTTCATGTTCTGGCTTTGTGGGAGCCTAGCCAGTTTGGATGTTCACCTTCCTAGACCAGGATGGAGGGGGGAGGACTTTGGACTTTCCACAGGGCAGGGAACCCTGACTGCTCTTCAGACTGGAGAGGGAGGGGGAGAGGAGTTGGGGGATGGGGAGAGGAGTGGGAGGAGGGGGAGGGAAATGGGAGGCTGGGAGAAGGCGGAAATATTTTTTTTTCAATAAAAATAAATAAATAAAACAAACAAAAAAGATACCTTTTAGTAAAGGCACAATGGCCACTTATAAATACATTCATGTCTTCTTGGCAGTGGCACGGCCAATGAAGGCCCAATGGATCACCTAGTGACACTGTAGTGTGTCGGTGTAAGCATACTCTATGATGCTCACACATGAAACTGCCTAAGAACAAAGTACTAAGAAAGTATACTCACAGCTAACACAAAAGATAGTAAACTGCTAATATAAGCATGACAGTTTACAAATAAATGAGGATTTGGAGGACTGAATATTGTATAACATCATGCTATAATACTGATAGCAAGAGGTGCTGTATAACACAATTATATCAAATAATAACAGAGTACAGCTAAGGCAAACACATACTCAGAGTTCACAAAAACATGTTATTTCACTTTGGAAAAATGGTGGCTACTATTTTTCTCAGTAAGTTTTTTTTTTTTTTATTTAACAACACTTATCATAAAATTTACTCTTTTAAAAATGTATTTGCTTTGTGCATTTTAGGAGAGTTCTCAAACATCTTCATTTTCATTACTTCAAAATGAAATATGCTTGCTCCCATCAGCAGCAGTCACTCCCTGTACTTATCTTTGTCCACCCCCAACCACTATTTTTGATGCTATTATAGATTTGGCTATTCTAACTTCATACATGGAATCAACAGATGTGCTTTATGTCAGTCTTTCCACAGTTATCATAATGTTATCAGGTCTATTCACATTAGAGCAAATTCCAGTACTTACTTTCTACTAGTCAATACTATTATTAAGATAAGACATATTTTATTATTCATTCATCTACTGGTAAATGCTTGAGCTGTTTCCATTCTGGGGTACTATTATAATACGTACATATTATGGGAGTTTTTTGGGATATGTATCTAGAGGTAAAACTGCTGAGTCATATTCATTTAATGTCTGCAGAGATGTTAGCACTGCTTGATTTCACTCTGGTGGATATAAAGAAATAGTTCACTGTGGTTTTCTTACATTTCTCTAATAACTAATGATATTTAACATCCATTTCATATGTTTATTGGATATCTGCCTATTTTCTTTAAAGAAATGTATATTCAAATCATTTTCACATTTTTTATCTTAGATTATTTTCTTTTTATTGTTGAGCTGTAAAACGTTCTTTATATATACCATATATAGCTCGTTTTCATAGTTTGCTTCCATAAGCTGATTTTCTCTTACCTGATTTAATCACATTCAGTGTGATTTGTCATAACAAGCGAAGCAAAAGAAAATTAAACAATAATATAAAGGAAATAATTAAGAACATTAAGAATAGTACAATTTCATATAATTGTAATGAAGACCCATTATGTAAAGTAGCTTCACCAATATTAGACTCTATATTAACTGTAATAAGATAACAGTAATTACTATAATAAAGCCGCCATCTGCAATTAAGCATGATTGTAAAGCTTATATCGCACAGATAGTGAGCCATAGCCTGCACCTTACTAATCTCAAAGATTGTTCAGTTCCAAAACCACGAACACAAATGTGTTTACGAGGAACTTTTACACTATCCTAGGGATTGCTTTGCAAGGTTAAGGCTTCACTAAAGGGAAAGGTGAGTTTAGGAACAGAATTTTATTTTGTGCAGATATTAAAGTCTAAACTAAGTGATAGAAAAAAAATTATAATAGTTTTTAAGTTAAAGGGTGATTTTAAAAAGCCTTGATAGATTAAAAAAAACTCAAGTCTTCAAAAACAAAACCACATAGAATGCATGAGATCAAGATAGCAGCTTTTCCTTCCCCAGTAAAGGTCAGTGTCCCTCTCCTAAAGCCAGCTAGTCACAGACAAGCAAGTTGACAGCCACAAGACACCAGGACAAAATGAACAGAAAGATCAATATGATTCCATCATTGCCAGGGAACAAATGGCTCAGACGATGTCCATTTTTGTACCCAGAGCTAATGTTGGAAGCACATATGAAGGACAGTTATGTCATGTTCTATGATAACATCTGGGCAAGACTGGCAACACAAGCATATCATATATTTTAAAAGAGAATTCAGCAATTAAAAATATGTAACAATAACAAATGAGGCCATGAATCTGAGAAAGAACAAGGAGGGGACACATGGGAGGGGTTGAAAGGGTGAAAGGTAAAAAGAAAAATGATGTGATTATATTTTAATCTAAGAAAATGTTAAAAATTAAATGGAATAAAATAAAGACTCCTCATAGTATTTTGTGTACATATATTTGAAGAACCTCAAGAAATTCTACTTTACTAAACTCAAATTTCAAAACAGAAAAAATATTTATGAAATTTATAAAATAAAAAGTAGCCATCTCTAGGGTCTACCAAGATAGCTTAGTGCCACTACTTAAAAACATTTAGGTAAGTAGGTAAAAAGAGAATCCTCAAGGTATCCTGTAACATACACACACATACATCATGGCAGATGCACATATGTACATGCACATACACACACAAAATAAATAAACAAATAAATGTAATATTTTAAAATTATAGAGAAATAATTTAAACCAATATAATTTTTCTAGGATAATATGTAGGCATTTAAATACACTAACTCAGTCAACTGTCATAATACCTCATAAAGTGGGTGGTTTTAATTATCTACATTTTACAAAAAAAGAAAACAAAAAGAGAAAAGATAATTTAAGGTAGAGCAAAGAAAGATTCTAGCTTGGTTTGATTCTGGCCCTCCAAACCCCTTACCAAGTTTCAATATTACCACAGTGACCACAGCTCTAGAGGTAAAATAATCAGGTTTCTGAGACTAAAGAACTCACTTTGATTAGACAATCAATAGCTTCTCTTTTAAGAAGTATGCAGAGTACACCTGCTTGTTCAAAATACGAAGAGAATAGGAAGTAGGAGAGCAGCCTGGAAACCAGAATTAAGTCCAATCCTCAGCTCCTAAATTTTCTCCCTTTGTGACATAAACCAAGGAACGTCTGCCTTTCTTTAGTGACAATCTCTAAAACATTGAAGATTGAATGGGCTGATCAAAAAAGGGGGAACAGAGTAATTTTTTCTATCTTAAATTATGTCAGTGTGGCGATTTCTCAGAAAATTAGGAACCAACCTTCCTCAAGACCCAGCAATACCACTTTTGGGTATATATCCAAAGGATGCTCAATCGTGCCACAAGGACATATGCTCAACTATGTTCATAGCAGCTTTGTTTGTCATAGCCAGAACCTGGAAACAATCTAAATGCCCCTCGGCTGAAGAATGGATAAAGAAAATATGGTACATTTACACAACGGAGTACTACACAGCAGAAAAAAATAACGACAGCTTGATTTTTGCAGGAAAATGGATGGAGCTAGAAAACATCATTTTGAGTGAGGTAGCCCAGACACAGAAAGGCAATTATCACATGTACTCACTCATAAGTGGTTTTTAAACATAAAGCAAAGAAAGCCAGCCTACAAACCACAATCCCAAAGAACTTAGACAACAATATGGACACTAAGAGAGACTTATACAGATATAATCTACATGGAAAGTAGAAAGAATAAAAAGACAAGATCTTCTGAGTAAATTGGGATCTTGGAGAATCGAGGATTGAAGGGGGGAGAGAAAAGGGAGGGGAGCATAGAAAAATGTAGAGCTCAATAAATATCAATTTAAAAAAAAGAAAAAATTAAAAACAGAATACAATTATAGTGTTTTTCCTTCCCTTTCTTTCTACCTGTCTCTCCTATGTGCCCATTTTTGTTCCCTCTCAAAATTATGCTTTCAATTTTTATTGTTACACACACACACACACACACACAAATATATATATATATAAACTATCCAAATTTATAAACATAAACTGCAGCAATGATAAGCCTTTAAAGGACAGGGAGTAGAAAATAAGCCTGGTTGCTGTGAGTATGCTCACAGAAGCAAACACTGAGAGCAGTTAAATGGGATGGCCGGCTTGCTGTCAGTGTACAAGGGACCTCATCTGTAAGTTTATTACTTAGGCTCTGAAACCCAAACTCTTTCGCCTATTATTCACCTCACAAACAGGCATCAATATTACAACTCTACTGGACTTAAAAGTCTCCCTTCGATATTCAAATCCTCAAGCAGAGTTCTCAGAGGCGGATTTCCTCCTCCTAGTCCTGGAGGCTTGCTGGGTAGGTCTAGTTTTCCCTTTGCCGGTTTAGCCAGGAATGGGGAGCACTCTGAGCCCCTGAGGTAAGAAAACATGGATGTTTTAGACCTAGAGTGCTGGCAGCAATGGGACAGGAAGGGCTTGGGAACACAGTAAGCACAGGACAGTGTCCAGGCTTCACGGCACTAATCCCTGGATTTCCTGCACTACAGTGAAGTGAGGACTTTGCCTTCCCTCTATCTCTGCTTTTGTTTGTCAGTTCCCCTGCTGTAGATCCCCTAACGCTCCTGAGTGCCCCTCACATTCCTTATAGTAGACAACAAAGACAAATAACTGATAACGTGTCTTCGCTCAAGTAAAAATCAACCTCAAATCCAACCCCTATCCAAAAACTGGTTAACTCAACCACCCTTTACCTTCTTACTGTGAAAATGCCAATTGGGCCTAGCCGAGCGTGTTAGTATAGACTGTAATCCCAGCTACTGAGAGGGCTGAGGCAGAAAGATCATGACTTCAAGGACCACCTGGGCTAAAAAGCAGGCTCATGACTGCCTGGTCAACTTAAAAAACAAAACAAAACACACACACACACAAAAAGAGCCTTTCTTATTATAAAAAAAAAAAAAAAAAAAAACGGGAAGGGCAGGGGAATGTAGCTGGGTACAGCATACTCGCTCTGAGTTAATAAAAATAACAAGAAAATATAGGGGAGAAATTGAAGGGACCCCCCACCATACACAGGCTAGTGTGGAGTTACCAAGTTCAGACCTATGGAAACAGAAAGGGATCCTATGCACTGCCCGAGAGAGTTAGTCATCAACATTGTGCCCTCCTCCTGAATGGGCTGCCTCCCTGCTGGACTAAAGGAGAGGGAATACTAGAAGACAAGGCTCAGCACCTTCACTGAGACATGACTGAAGAGAAGACAAGCTAGGAAAACCCCAAAGCTGTCACAGCACACAGGAGTTCACAAACTCACCTGTCCTGGCTAAGTCACTCATGAAACACACATGTGAGGTCCTACTGAAATGCTGAGAGCTTTAATAAAGGAAAGCTGTGACCCTCACGGATCTCACATACCAAATTCTGGAGGAAATCCCTGCAGATTCGCAATTTCTCTAGGCGTGAAATATCGCAGTTTGAGCGTTGACAACTTAGCTATCTTTTCTTCCGGGGGCAAATTATTAAGAGATTTGAAGACATTCTCAATCTGTTAAAAAAAAAAATCCACAAGAAATTAAAAAATACTGCATGACCAGACTTACCGTTTCCAGTTGCGAGGCAGCTGGAGGGCAGTGCAGAAGCCATCGGCCATGTCACACGGAGCAGAACGGACAGTGACTATCTCTGTGAACAGCTGAATCACTGCTTCAATAATGGCAACAGACTTGGAAAAGCAAAGGCTCTACTGAACTGATCAGGAACCTAAGACACATCAATAAATATAAAAATAGAAAATTAGAAAATGTACAGGAAACTGAGGAAACTAACAAAGTCAATTTCACAATGCTAACAAGAAACTCAGTAAGTAAAAGAATTACACCACAGAAAATAAAATGTGTGTATCAGTAACTACATAGCCGTTCAGCCGAACATTTCAAATATTTTAATATTCTTAAATAAATATTAAAGATAATATTACTGAATAGAAAGTTTAAATTTAAAAACATACATGGTACCTGAACATCCTCTGCAGTCTGTAACACTGAGCCTGTCCCTTCAATGTAGCTTCCATACCTGAAAAATTCACATTAATAATACATGACGCCCGATGTATATTAATGGCAAAGCGCGCGCACGTGCTCTCTCTCTCTCTCTCTCTCTCTCTCTCTCTCTCTCTCTCTGTGTGTGTGTGTGTGTGTGTGAGTCTGTGTGACTGTTTATGTATATATAGGTGTGCATGTACATGCATGTGTGTAAAGACCCGAGGACAACACTGGGTGTCATGTCTCAAGCACAACCCAATGTTTTTTGCAGACAGGCTCTCTCACTGGCATCAAACACACCAAATAAGTTAAGCTGGCCATCCAGCAAGGCCCAGGCATCTGCTGGTCTCACTCTCCAGAGCTGAGTTTGCAGTATGCCACCATACCTAGCTATATTTGACATGTGTTCTGGGGTTCTAATTTTGGTCCTTATGCTTATTAAAAACAGTATACTAGCCAGAGATCTCTTTCTAAAAATATTTTTACATGATAAAATATTTCTAAAATGACATAAATTTATATTCTTCTAAAACATCTTAGATGGTATCATAGATATAGGCTTTTTAAAATAAAATAAAAGACATAATTCTATTTAAACTTCTGAAAACTAAACTTGGCAGTTGAGTTGTATAAACACCACTAAACACTGTATTAGTGTTTTTGTATCAATTGTCATATCTGCAATGTTCCTTGTTAGGAAGTACACACTATATTTCAAAGGTCCCTGCCACATTAAACCAAATATATAGATGAAAATATATTGCTATTATTTTTATAATGCCCAAATTATAATTTCTTCTCAGCATCCAAAATCTTTGGCTCCCTAATACCACAAGAACTTAAGTTTAACTTTCATTAACCCAGTTTTCTCTTATTAGCATCTTCATTTAAGAATTAGTTTAAAATTGTATAAGATGTATAAAATACTTCAGAAATGAAAGGTATAGTATTATTTTTCTGTTGTTGACAAGTTGGCTTTCCATCATGAGCACTCTCTTTTCACAGTAAGGGCAATTTAAACTATAAACTAGAAGCCGGGCAGTGGTGGCGCATGCCTTTAATCCCAGCACTCGGGAGGCAGAGGCAGGCGGATCTCTGGGAGTTTGAGGCCAGCCTGGTCTACAAGAGCTAGTTCCGGGACAGGCACCAAAGCTACAGAGAAACCCTGTCTCGAAAAACCAAAAAAAAAAAAAAAAAAAAAACCTATAAACTAGAGAAGTACATCAGGGAAAAATAACTGCTTCCCACTGTCTTCTTATATGTGCTGCACATTTAGACGTCTGTGCGCCCGCCATCTTTAGCTGAAGATGCAGAGCTGCCACAGTGAGGCTTCCTTTATGCCATCTGTATTATAAGAGAGCACCAAGGCTGCTTTTTATTACAAACTGCAAAGTATTATTTTATGAGAGTCCTAACCAAAACCTATTGAACTTGGTAATAGACAAGAGTTGAGTGGAGTCTTTTTAAATAATAAATCCTTTCTCCTGGAAGCACAGCAGCAGATCATAAAATCAGCCTGAGTCTATGTGACTATAGGGCAGCAGCGCCTTTCCACAGCCTAACAACAAGCAGGCAAGTCGGAATTGTCACATCACAGAGTGAAGCTGAGGGGCATGCACAAAACAGAGACAGTGTTTTTAACTTTTTTCCTAAGCAATTCCCCCTATCACCATGTTTTTTAAAAACTGTCAAAAAATTGTTGTAATTCAAGAAACAACCCAAAATAAAACACTAAATGTTCAACCATAGGTAATTAACAAAACAAATTATACTCCTCTTTTACCATGAACATCAAAGGTATTCTTATATTACCATGGTAATAATATCCAAGGAAGATTATGAGTGGCTTTCCGCTAAGCCAGCAGCCACCACTTTGGAAATTCATCTCTGCCCTCTTACGAAAAGAGTGCCCCAGCTAGGCCTGTTGACTGCCCTTGTAGAAGGGTGGGGAGGGTCACAGATGTCACCTGAGTATCCACTGCTCCCTATCACTGTGCTGTGCAACTCTGCCTTCATTGCAGATGGCGTCGGGGAGAGCTAGAGTATATAGACAGGGAAGAGTAGATAAAGGACCCTCCATCTGTGCAGATACGGGCAAGCCAGGATCCTTACTGTGTAAAGGTTTTCCAGGTACAGCCTGTTGGGAGTCAGGAGTACTTACACCCCTTAGGTAACCTCTCACCTGTGCTCTGAAAAGAAGCCCAATAAATTCATTGGTTCTCAAGAGTGAACTTTGGTGGAATCATACTTAAGTTTGAGGCTGGAACATTAGTAGTAGGGGTATTGTTGCCATGGTGAGAAGTTTTTTTTTAATGTTCATCCCAGGAAGCAATATTAATAACAACACCTTTGGAAGGCCAGATAGTATATTGATACCACAGGCTGGTAAAAGACACAGATGGCCAAGAGACAGATGAAGTAGGGAGTTTTATAATATTAGTAACTTTTGAATTTTGGAACATGAGAATTCATTATCTATTTAAAAATCCAAGTAAATTTTAAACTGTAACTGGATGATTCAATTTTATTTCCTTAAACTAAAATATAATTTCTTTCAATCTTGAGGTTTGATGTGTCTCAGAGAAAGAAATGTAAGATTACCAATTCACAAACTGCAGAAATCATGCTAAGACAAGTACTGAAGCTATACAAAGGTCATTCGCAAATGTTCTTGTCTTCCACAAACGCTCTGTGGGTGGTGCACAGAATGTTCTGCGCCAGGAATGCTCACTCAGGCTCTACAGGCAATTAGGAAAAAAGTAAGTCTAAGAGAAACATTTATCAAACACTTCTTGCTCTGAGAACTAAAAGACTAGCTATGAAACATGATTATTTTAGATACAACCTTACCCTTTGGTAAAGCACATGGACCTTCTGGAGGTGGGCGTAACGATATCTAGTAGAAGAGCGTATCGCAGCAACAACTTTGGTGGTAAAAAGTACTGGCTTGGGTCAACATCTTCAAGAAACTCTTTCAGCATCTGCACAGAGAGGTCACTGTCCTGCTGGTGCTTCCTGTCGATTTCTTCTGCAGTTTCAAGCTTAAAAAGAATGGTATCTTTTCCTGAACACTGTGTGCTGCCATCAAAGCAGGTGCTTGGTTCAGGACTCTCCGCTCGGAGCTTATTTTCTGCAATGACTGAACAGGCTTGTGGCTGTAGAGTCGCACTGTTAGGAAACTCCATCAGTATCTGGCATTAAATTAAAAAATACAAACTGTCAAAAGTTTTATTTAAAATAAGAGATAAATCAATAATATCAACTGAACATGTGGGAACTTTTTAGTCTTTATAAGGTTGACATTAAAAAGATAAACATAGTGGTCTGCTTGTATTTACACAAGCTGTTGTCAGAAGTTATTAGTCATACAGCCATACAGAAAGTGAGCTGCAGAGGATTTATTTCACGGAATTCCTGTTTGGTGTACTTATTATGGAAAAGCTCACAAAATATAAACATAGCATCACAAGGGGGAAAGAAGTTTTAAAAGCAATGTTGACATTGGAAAATATGCAGAGAACTAAAGATTACCAAACTCCTCCATTAAAAAGGAAATGCTGCAACATCCTCAATTAGAAAACAAAACTCACAGTGCTTTTCACTGAGAATATTCATGTGGGGGTGGGGTGGGCAGTGTGGATGATTTGATATAGAAACTCATAATCTCATATACTTCTATTTTACAACTGAGAAAAATACTCAAGGAATTTCTAATGATTAAGTCTTCCTTAATACACTTTTCACATTGCTTCTGAAACCGTCCAGACAGAAAGAACATCTGTCACTGGAGAGTCAAAATGATGACTAGACTTCACTAGCCGACCTACTGGCTTCTGAGCTGTACTGGGGATGGTTACGTGGAGCAAAGTTCTTTGAGCCACTGCAACTCTGTTATCTTTCCTCATTTCTTATGAAAACATAAAACTACTTACCAAGAATCTCAACTTAGCAGTTGAGAATTTGATGTTAGCTTATACTAATGATTACTACATTTTAACCAATTAAGATAAATAAAATTGGCATCATGGAAAGTATAATAAATATGTTTAAACAGGCCATTTCAAAGACAGTACACTATATTTTATCAGAAGTAATCAAAGGCTTTAAGTGGAAGAGAAAATGACAAATGCAAAAGTCAGTGGGCCTGGAAGTTATGGGGGGATAACAATGCTAATGATAATTTTCAAACTTACAAAGCTTTGTGAGCTTTAGCTCTATTTAGCTTAGTGAAAAGTAAACCAAAGAGAAGAGAGAGATAAAAGTAAACACCAGGAGAAACAGAGACCTGGAAACAGATATGAAGATGACCTGTATTATAAACTCTATAGGCACTGTAGCCCTGAGTAGGTACTGAGAAGAAACTGGCAGACCGAGATTCATTCACGAGTACACAGTAATAGCAGCAGCAGCAACAATACCTGACCAGGAACCTGAAAAGGTAAAGGCTCTGACTGAAGCTTTGCAATGAGAAAATATCGTAGCCTCGAGTTTGGAATACCAAGCTGCAAGCAAAACAGAAAGGCTAGTTACCATATGAAATTTGGGAGATTTATGGCAACTTCAGCATAAAGACGCAGATAGATATGCACCTCATTTCTGCCAGAGCAAATATGGCTACTGGTTTTTGGAAGACTTCTTCACAGAAGAATCTAAGGCAGTTACCTTGCTGCTCTGTAGCTTTCAGTGAATGATATTTCTCCCAGACAAATGCATTCATAGGTCATAATTCACAAGTAAGAAGAAATAGAGACATTCTGTATTTGTTATTGATAATATAATAGTGGTAAAATAGTCGATTAAATTTAAATATAGATATTTTTGCTATTCTTACTTTTACTTTTAAAGAGGAGGATGTACTATATACTCTAGAAGAGGCAATGATCAGAAATAAAGTTAAAGAGATCAGTTACACTGCAAGTTCTGATAATTTATATATTAAATTTTTAAACTACATTTTCTTTTCATCTGTGCACAAAGAGCTATATAATATAGCTAACGATGATGAGAAACTAAAAGGAATGGCAAACACAGCAACACTTCAACATCAATCTTTCAAATCTTGAACAGTGCTTGCAATCTAATGTCATTTAACAACAAGGAATTATAAACAATATGTCCACTTTGCTTTCAATCTTGGACTACTTTGAGCATTACTGCACACAAGACACCTAATTCAAACATGTAAAACTCCATTTATTTTCAAAACCTATAATCGTTTATTTTCCAAAAAGAAAAATGCATGAAATTTAATGAACCTATTTTATGTACAGGTAAATCAACAAGCATGGACTGTGTTCTTCAGAGAGTAACAGTCATGTCTGAGTCAATTTAACACTTATATGAAATATTAAAAATAGGTCTATATTGTTTATTACATCAAATTCCCCGGGGTGGGGAAGTCCTTAAATGATCACTCATCTAAGGGTTTGCAGTTGTGACACCTACGGAGGACGGAGATAACAGAAACTCCTGATGCTGAAAACCACAGGCTTCCATCGTTTGTATCAGCAGCTCTCTGCAAAGAGAGAAGACCCAGCCCTTGCTTAGACATGGCATCCTTATATAACAACACACACAACACTTCATCAGCAGGAAAAACCCAACGCTACTAAAGCCATTTAGAGACAAGTCTTTCAAATCATTACCTGAGAAATTGCATTTTGTTTTTAATTTATTTTTCAATATAGCAAATATTTTTAATCTTCCTTCATATATTATACCCTGACCACAGTTCTCCCTTTCTCTTCTCCCCCAAGTCTAAGACATGTGCAAGACAAATATATGCTTTACCTTGTAGATGATACTTCAAAACCTTTAACATTTTCTAGAAGAATATACTTGGGTAATTTTTGTAATCTACAAGCCAAAACAAATAGAAATACAAATATTTCATTACAAAGAAGTAAAAAGAAAATCACAACTTGTAAGAAATGGAGGCTTAAGTAATTTTCTAGATTTTAAAAAAATGAATTTTAAATCCTATTTTATTCCTTTTTCCCAAGACATTCTATACTTGAACAAGTTCACACCTGAAGAGTTAACTTCCACTGAAGCATAGCTCATACTCTGGCTTTCACGGGCTTCTGCATGGCTCACAGGCTGCCATTCAGCCCCGATGGGAGCGTTCACCAGCACTGGCAACATCTGCATGACTAGAACGAATGAGCAGCAGCAACCAAATTTAGGTGGCTCCTGACAGCTCTGTCACTCACTGTGGAGGGAAGCATGCAATTCTGAAACATTTGCTGTCGTTTTATTAACTGTGACAGAAGAAGGGGGCATGTGGCAACTTCTAATCTCTACAGAGTGACAAGCATTACATTCTTCCATACTCATAGCTTTAAATTTAAGGTAAGTTTGCAAAAATCTATATTACCTTGGGAGAATATCTAGAATGTACAAGAAGCTATTTGTCCTTGGATCAGTCATATCCCCTTGTAGGCCAATTCTAAAAAAGCAAAGAAAACACAAAAGGAGTTTATCAAAAATTTTACATAATGATACCAAAAAGACTTAGTCAGTTAAGAGAATTCAAATAAGTTGATCTTTACCATAAGGAACAAAACAGGAAAGAAAGGACAACAAGTTGGCTGGGTAGGTGGTGATCCCAGTAGATGACACTCGTGATAACCACCATTTAAGCAGACTGGACAAGAAGGGACACTGAGATAATCTTGTCCGGTGTAAACAGACCCTTGATCTCAGGGTTTAGACAACCTAGGGTCGGCACGTGGAATCAGGCAGCACTGGGCTAGGAAACACAGTGGACAAAGTTCACAGCATGGCCAAGGTTCAAATAGAAAGGAACACTAGGATGGGGTCTGGAAAACAGGACCAGAGGGTCAGGGTTTTCACTTCGGTGCTTAGCTACGAGACATCTCTATCAATCTATCAGCGGGTCTGAGATTAAAGACTGGAGATTAAACTGGTCTTAAACCGATTCCTCAGAAATCTCCAGTTCTATATTTCCCTTTCCACCCAGAGCTCAGATATCAACTATGGAATCGCGGCTGTAGCAGCAGCTGGAGTAGTTAGCATCTACAGAGAAGATGGCAAGAGGGAGGACCCTGGGCCACTGCAGCAGTACACATCCTCGGGCTGACTTCTGCTCTGTGCACACGCCCCACGTGCTTAAAGCCACCTTCCCATGGGGTGTCCTCTGCCTTCTCCAATAAACTCCCACCCCGCTTTCCTCACAGCTCGAACGGAAACTCTGAAAGAATTCCCCTCTCTGGGCATGACACACTCCACTTTCTCCTCAGTGCTCTTGTGGTCTTGCAGGGTTCTTACAGTACCAAATGTCACTGTTATGTAACACTAATTTATGAGCCATTCCTTTCAATTATAAACTCCAAAGATCAGGAACTACAGCATCAGACACACTACATGGCATCCAGGCACAAGAACCCTCAGGGAGACAAGCTTCCTTAAGTTCAAAGATGTTACAGCACAAGATTATTCATCTAAATCAAAATATTTATCATATATAACACTTCAGCCAGCCATATTAATACAAAATATATAAATAATTAAGAAATAATGGTTCTGACCTTTGTCTAACTGTATAGTCATGGGAAAGTTAAACATTCTATGCCTCAGTTTCTCACCTACAAAATAATAGTAACATTAAGACTCTATTAATGTGGCTACTTAAAAACAGTATATCTTATTAGAAAAAATAAATTTGTTTTAAGACAATTCCTTGAAACACATTGTTAGAAATTACAAAATAAATCTGAAATTAGAAATTATAATGTGGCTATGAAAAATCTGAATTATCATATTAATTTTGAGAAATACACAATTTGTAAATATATGCTAAACTAGCTTTCAATTTTTTACATAAGTAATTTACAAATGAAATATTTCTGAGGAAAATTCAGTTTCACTGATAAGAATTGGCTCTGAATGCTCAACATTTTATAGGAATTAAGGTAATTTGAAACAAAAATAAATGTACCTTAGATATACCTATAACACAGTATTAAACATATACTACTGAACAAATTATTTTGCTCTTCTGACTGTAACTGTCAATTCCAATCTTGATGCTGGATTATAATATGAGTGCAGGAAAGGATGCATTTACAAAGTGCTTTAAAGCTGTGCACGTGCAGCTAGGGTCTTAAGCTCTTCCTGCTTCCCTTCTTTCCTTCTTCTGTCTCTCCCCTTTCTTTTCTTATTGGTGGTGAGGGATGTGTGTGTCATGATTTGAACACAGGGCCCATGCATGTTAGGCAAGTATTTGCACTGAGCTATATCCTCAACCCACACTGACTCTTCCTTAATAGAAAATACTTATCATACATACCTTGTGAATGGCTGACAGGGAGGGCTCATTACAATCATATTGAAAGATAGCTTGTTAAACTCTTCCAGTGAAATACCCTAAGGAATGAACATTTCGAAGAAAGAAAACACGCACAGAATGAAGAGAGGAAGTACTAAACAATTAGAACTAAGGAATCAGACATCGCAGGTTTGCCTAACACTGTGCTTTACACCAATTTCCCAAAGCAATCTTGTCAGGAAAACAGTGGCTTCCTCCACCACACCTGTCCCTTTAGGAGGTCTCAGATGTAACACTGCTGTTTCTGGACTTGACCAAGTAGAACTTTATTTTTTTTAAATTTATTTATTTATTAAGGATTTCTGCCTCCTCCCCGCCACCGCCTCCCATTTCCCTCCCCCTTCCCCAATCAAGTCCCCCTCCCTCATCAGAACTTTATTTTGTAAGTAACCATATTTGGCAAAGGTCTGGGGAATCTTTAAGCACCCATCTATCATTGTGCTTCTCTCTTTCACAAGTGTGATGTAATGAATAGCCAGAACAGTCAGCTTAGTACTATGTCAACTTAGCAGAGTAATAGTAATAGACAAGAGTAATTAAAATGACCCCTAATCTGTTCCATTTACACATGCATATAAAAACACACATATATGTACAACAATGAGAAATACATGTCAGTATTTCCATTACCAATTCCCATTAAGCACTCTTGGCCAGAAATACAAAAAGAATAGCCCAGTATCACAACCTCCCTAATTATTATAACAAATCTCTAACAAGTATTAAGTATTTCGATAAAGTGGGAAAGTTTATGCTCTGAATTCTATGAAGGGTGAGTGAAATCGGGAACATGTCAGCTGTAGCCACTGAATTAAAAGTTAGTGACATGTATAAGGCCAGGAAATAACATATGAATCTTGAGAAGTGCTCATAATTTTTAGTTTTATTACAAGAGATTAAAATGTTCAATAAAAAACACCAAATTTTATGAATACTCTCAGACAGAGTTGTCCTCTTTTCCAGAAGGATCTCATTAATTCCTATCAAGAGAATCCTTACTTTTGACACTGGAGCATTTCTAGGAGAAAGCCCACTTTGGGTCCACTGTGAGCATCCTTCAGATAAGTTTTGAAAAACCTGTTTATGTTTCGTTTGTAACTATGGAGTCTGTACTCGTAAGACAATGGTTTTCCTATCTTGTAGCGTAGAAGTGATAAACAGTGAAAACTCGTGGCTGGCTATTCCTTATCCTGTTCTGCCCAGTGAGAGTATTTTATGCATCAATTACCATTCAATCGTTTATCTGCTGTCAGCTTTAAACCCTTTCATCCTTTATCAGCATTTTCATGGCATTTCTCTGCTCACTTTATATGTACAGTATGCTAGCTCATTTAGCAATTTTTATAAATCAATCCACTACTATTTCTGAGTAGCATTTACCTGGCAGGCATTGTTGTATACAATGAGCAGGCCCAATGAGGTGTCTGCTCGTGACATTTACACACTAGTCATTAGTAATTTCTCACTTGCTAGCTAAGTACTTTGGTTTCATCTACAGCTTTTTGATTAAGGAATTCCACCGCTGGTTATGAACCTGTGTTATATCTCAGCCCGACCATGGATGATAACGAAGACTTTTCTGGCAGGCTGTGTGGAAAAAGTTGCCTTCCTCAAGACAGGCCTGGTACACAGCCAAGACCGTATCGCAGTCTCTGAAGGGCGCTGCTGTCACGATCTTGCTGCCATGGACAATCGTGCTCTTACACTCTAGTTACCATCCCGATCCACAGCGTTCGCCATCCTAAATGACTTCCTCTCTCCATTTGACAACGCCTGTCACAAGTCACCTGCTAGTGTCTGCTAGAGGAGGAGGAGACCAGAAGAATTTCCTCCCGCCCCTCTCTCTGTACCAAGCACTCTCCCACTTCTTGGCCTCCCACTCACCCTGTCCTCGTATCTTAAGCAGGGAGACAGCCCCCACCTTGTGCTGATCCAAGGAGACACAAGGTAAATCAGGGTTTTCAGTTAAGTTAGATTCTGGCTGATACTTTATGACCTCACCTGCATATGTTAACTGGAAAAGTCAAACCCATAGAGGCAAAGAGTAAACTGGTTGAAAAACAGTGGTGGAAGAGCACCAAACCACTGCAGTGAGTTTGGGCATCTATTGTATGGCATGGCAATGTGCTTTGCCCCGCCCAGCAGGTCACACAAAGTAAGAATGTAGGGGGAAGAATATGCCATTTGCTCAATGTAACCATTTCTTAGCATACATATGTGAGTACATATAAACTATATTCCATACAAATATATATAAAAATTCCTATTTCTTTCCTGCACTATAAAACAAAAAGATAGTCTTTTTTCCCTCACAAACACACAGATTAATGAACTGACTCCCCTTTGAGTGAGCTAGAATTGCTTCCTCCAGCCCCTTTTCTTGTTTCCAATAATTTTATAGACTGTGCATATATAATGATTTACCATATCTATTAAAACTAGCAAGGAAATATAATTAAAGTTTGAATTCCTTAAGCTTCTATTAGTATATATCTAGAGATCTCAATAGGTCAAAATACACATAGTTTCTCATCATTTCTCTTAAAGAGTAGAACAGACAAGATATTAAATTATTAAAGTAAAATATTCAATCAGTAGTATATTAAGAATTTGTTGATTTAGATTATGTTTGGTTACATCTACTTTAAAAGATTTATATTAAATTTGTTTTTGTAATAAAAGTTTTTAATAAGATAACTGGTACTGCCATTTGCTATCTCACAGAAATTATGAAACCTAAATTTACCTAAGTCTGTACATTCAATTCGGAATTACATATTTTGGGTATTCTTATTCTGAACGTGTTTACACTGCTACTTTCATGATGAGAAGGCTAAACTGATTCTGGTTGGCCATGAAGCTTATGATGGGCACCTTATTAGTTATTATCATACCTCGCACTGTAGTCAGGGCTAAGAACCGATATCTAAACAGATGGTGGGCCTTGGGTGAGGACCTGCTACTCCTGCCCTGCTAAAGTGACAAATAAAAGACTATGGTGTGCTCAGCCTTAAGGGAGACCTTTGCCCCCCCTTACACGTGTGTGCATGTGTGCACTCCCCAGGGTTGGAGATCATCTTAGAAGAGGAGATAGAAAGGTTGAAAGATCCTGGCAGTGAACAACTACAATGAAATTCTATAAGAGTTTAACTTCTAACTTTACCTTCATTTGAACAAAGCCAAAACAACCTCAGAAGCCCTAAAAAGCTGTGTTAAATGTAAGTGCTATTGAGTTTGCACATAGTAGACTTCTGTTAGAGCAGGCTACCATTGCAGGGAAGAGACTGAAAAACTAAAGTAGGATCTCACAATTGCCACAGCTTTCTGCTAAGTAATTATTTCTAGACAGCAGTGAAGGGAGGCAACTCCCAAACAGAACCAAGTAAGCTAAACAGTGGAGGAGAGACAGGAAAGAGGTCAGGGTGACTAACTGTGTCACAGGATGAAGGAAGCACACATCATCTGCACAGCTGTCCCACTGAACCTTTGGGATCAGTCTGTGCACACAGCAGTCATGACACCGTAAGATGGAGCAAAGAACATCTACCAGGGAAAGAACAGTTACTAAGAAGACATAACTTCCAGGTTTTACATAAGATCAAAAGTCACTTATACCAAGTAGAGAGCCTGTGTATGTATGGCAAAAATCCCACAGGACTTACATTGCCTGAATTCAGTATGTATTAAAAACTACCACTATCAAAGCCTTGTGTTATTGAAGTAAGAGTTTATATATTCATCCTACTGAGAAAAGGGCCCAAAGATGCACCCATAAATAAGTGATCTGTTCCTTATAACATGTCATGGGAACTGACTAAAAGACTACCCTTCAGCAAATGATCGACTTTACATTCCCTTACGGTGAAAAAAAAGAATAGCCCATTCTGCATACTGCATGCAAAAAGTAAGTGTGAATGGATCATAGATCCAAATGTAAAACCCAAACCTACAAATCTAAGGAAAAAAAAAAACAGAAAAATTTGGAGAATAAAAAGGTTTCACCAAATACACTAAAAAAAGTTCTGTGCAGGAAAAAAAAATTCCTATAACTATAATTTCTGCTCTTTGATGGAAATAGCTAAAGAAATAAAAAGGCAGGCTATAGAAGTAGAGAAAATATTTGTTATATCCATTCTGAACAAATAAGTTTAATCCAGAAAACAAACTGCACACTTCGCATGGATGCCATTACTGTGCATAATTGACAGCTTCATGAGAATTTTGCATGTAAAATTTCTACAATAAGGAGTTAAGGCCTTATTTTCACAGTAAGAAATATTGGGCTCTGTTGGGTTTCCTTTTGCTGCCCTGTGGATAAACAGCTCAGAATGGAATTACTGGACTGTGTGACAATTATCTGCAAAGTTATAAGATAACAAAAGTTTCCCAAAGTGCTTTAATAAATCTTACATTAGATCCATCAGTGTTTCAGTGAGAACACTCACACATCAGCAGACACTTGCTGTTGCTAGTCTTCCACAGGAAGAGTATGGGTAAAGGAACTTACTCGCCCCCGAGCCTGACGTTCAATCCTCAGAAACCACATAGTGAAAATAGAGAATCAATACCTGCAAGTTGTCCCTTGACCTACACACACTCACTCACACACACACACACACACGCACACACACACGCATGCACGCACACACGCACACACACACGCACACACACACGCACACACACGCACACACACGCACGCACGCACACACACACACGCACACGCACACACGCACACGCACACACACACGCACACACACACACGCACACACACACGCACACACACACGCACACACACACACGCGCACACACACACACGCACACACACGCACACACACACACGCACACACACACACGCACACACACACACGCACACACACACACGCACACACACGCACACACACACACGCACACATACACACGCATGCATGTGCCATTGTATGCACAATGTCTCTCTTTTACAAACACACCAACAAATAATAGGAAAAAAAATGAGGTGTTCTTATTTATTTTTATTGAAAAACATTTTTTCATACAGCTTATTCTGATTATGATTTCCCTTCCTTATCTCCTCCCAGATCCTCCCCACCTCCCTACCCATTCAATTCCATACCTTCTTTCTCTTTAGAAAACAAGCAGGCCAATAATAAAGTTTTTTTTTTTTAAAAAGAAAAAACAGAGTAAAATAGAACAAACATGCAGAGAAAAAAGAAAAGAGAGAAAAAGCATAAGAAATACACACAAACCCATATATACAAAAAAATGGGACCCATAAGAGATAAGCAAAAGACAAGCACAATTTAAAAAAAAAAAAGCCTAACCAAAGCATTATAAGACAAAATCTCCAAAAATACTATTGAGTTCATTTTGTTTTGGTCATCTAGTGCTCATATTCATTTCAAAACAGAGCCAACGATTGGTGAAGTATATTAACTCTGACAAGGTTGCTAATGAGCATTCAGAAAGTAATAGTCAAGGAACCCTTCCTTATTGTTACCACGTGCTGTATTACATAGCTAGAAACTGGATATGACCATTACAGTTTGCTATCTCCACTATCGAAGCTAATCATGTTCATGTCAATCTTTTCTTTCAGAGAGCAAATAGTGACCTCACTCTTTGAGTGTTTTAAATAATTTACTCTTTCTTTTGACAGAATTTAAAACATTCATTCTTCTCCTAAAATTTTATTTGCACAACTTATTTTCCAATTAAGCCACCAGAAACCAGCATTGAGGAATTGTTAGTAATATGCATTTTCACTGCTATTATATTATTAAAATAATAATATATACTCACTTCGATAGTCTTTGCCAGTAATTGTGTGTGAGGAAAATTATGCTTGTATACTTCATTAGCAACAGTATTCACATCAATAGCAGCCACCACGTGCGCAGGGATACAGCTTTCTGGAATGATAAAAGGAATATCTTCAATATCAGCCCATCATAAAGAATCCAGCAGTGCGCCGACCTTCTCCCCCAGCCTGATCTCAGCCCACAGCAAAGAACCGGGCAAGAGGAACAGGCAGGAAGAACCTGGCAAGAGGAACAGGCAGGAAGTGGAGTCTTTCAGCACGACGTTCAGTTTTTCTCTCTGGCAGCATGTTGAGTGCTGAGAGTAAGACTTCAACTTTCTTTTGCTTTCTTTTCCTTTTCTTTTGGAGCCTGTCCTGGAATTTGCTCTGTAGAGCAGGCTGGCCTCAAACTCATAGAGATCCACCTGCCTCTGCCTCCCAAGTGCTCAGATTAAAGGCGTGCAAACACCACCGTCTAGCTTAACTTCAACTTTCTTAGTTGTCTAAGGAGATAGCTTTCTTTTCTCATTAAGCCACATGTTTATGCCAAACACAGTTTTCTAAGTTAAATAAAAAACAGGAACACATAATACACTCTGCAAGTCCCATTATTCAGAACTTTATATAAACAAATGACCATGTGTTCTCACTTTCCTGTATTAAGAAAAAGCTGATTCACAATACCACTAAAAATGCCTTTAATATAAATTTATTTTGTTATAACAGCTTCACTGAGATATAACTTACACACAACAGAATCACCATGCTTAGAGTTTCATTTTTAAATGAGATCAATTCATTAGTGTCCAGTTGAAAAAAGTTCAAAGCCTAAAAACACACATTTTTAACAAGAGCTTAAGAGACTGGAGAGGAAGAGAGGCTCAGATTAAGGCACACCTTGCTGCTAAGGAAACACATTCTCAAAACAGCTTTAAATTCAAAGAATCTGAACATATTTTTGGTGGTAATTAAAAGTTTGAACTCTGTAAGTGTGGCTGTTGTTATAGACCATATCCAAAATCAGGAGAAAACATGGGGAATTTTAAATATAAAAAGCATCCGAAACTTGAGAAAGTCATTGGTTAGCATAACAAGATTACCAGTAGATCCAAACAGCTCTCTTTATTAACCATTTGTTGATTACCAGGCAGCTTTACTTGGTGCAGACATTTCCAGGGTCTAGGGAGTTAGAACTCACAAAGCAAGCAGCTGCACAGATCACAGGACAAAAGGCAGAGAAAGACCCCCATGCTCAGAAGGTCACTGCAGCCTTTCACTGAGTCCTAGAAAAGAGAGACTCAGGAGAAAACAGGGACTTAGATGTCTCCACGTGAATATTCTATCGGGTAGGCTCAAATCACTCAGGTGTTCCCAGGTACTTCCTGGCTGTGAAAAAGGACAGTTCTCCGTGCCTTACACATGGGCACTAGACTACTTAATACCACAGGTAGCTGCCTCTAGCTGACTTTAAATTTAATAACTAGTTTCTTGATTTAGGATATATTTGAGGTTATAAATCATATCTTTGTTTAAAAGCATGAAAGACTTCAAAACCTAAAACAAAAAGGTTTCTAAGCCAAAAGGTATGCAGATTAATTTTAAAAATCATGAAACTTACTAATGTAAGTCACTAATCACTATGAGAACTCAGAATTCAACTTTGCTGAATGAGATAAATTGCAATCTCCATGGTGCAGCCTGCTCGTAGTCCCCACAGAAGCAGGCAGGATTGCCTGGAGGTGGCTAGCATGACTTTCATCTTTTTTAGGTCGACTGAAAATCTAATCATGTGCTGAATCCATACCATAGTCAATAAGTAATTTTATGCTCTTGTATTATATGTCCGGAGGACATAAAACCTGACAAAAAGCTACTGCCAAGTGAGTGTTTCATGTGGAGATCCAAAGCCTGATGAACTGAAAAGTAATTCTCAGAAGAGAACGGACTATGAAAGTCAATGAGCAAATGCAGTGTTCTCATGGACGGAGCACAGTGTTTAAACTGTTATAAAACTAGAGCCTCCTGAAGATAGAAAGACACAAACACACATAAGAAGGGTATCTGAAACCCGAGCATGTTTCAGATTTTGGAATATTTGCATATACATAGCAAGACAGCATGAGGGTAGGACCCAATTATAAACATAAAACTCATTTGCTTCCTATAAACCTTGTACACATAGCTTGGAGGTCATTTTAATTTAAAAAAATCATTATTTATTTGTTTATTATGTTGTATAAACCTTTACTCAGTGAGCCACTACTGAACCATCTCTGGCCCCAATTGTATATAAAATGTTTGGTTTCTGGGCATTTCTTTTACTCCGATCAATCATATGAGATTGAGTAGAATTTTCCACTTGTGGCATCAAGATGATTATTAAGAAGTCTTTGATTCTGGAGCATTTCATAGTTTACTGTTTTTATTAGGATGCTCATCCTGTACTAACACATTTCTGATGCTAACTTCAACTTGATTTTTTAAAATATTGTTTAGGTTATCTGTAGGTATTTAAAACAAATGTTTAGGTATGCTTCTAAGGAGAAATTAAACTCATATATAACAATGAAAAAAGCAAGTTGATCTTTTTATGGCAACATCTAAAACTGGACTCCAAAGAAAGCCATCTCAATATTCTCTAATAAAATAGTTTAAATACACAGGAGAGAAGTTTTGAAAATGTCGAGGTGGAAAGAATGCTCTAGAACTGTGCCCCTGTGAGCTCTCTCACTTGGGATCCAAGAATTATTCTTAAAGGAGCAAGAACTGGGACAGGAACCCAGCAGGGTTTTGGAAGGAGCGGGGGATGTGCTTTCTGGTCTTTGCTCCAATGCTGTGCATGGGTTTAATCCATGACATTTCAGTCACTATTCTGGATTTCATGTTTATGAATAGGAAGCACAGTTTTTTAAGAAGGTGAGACATTCTGGTTAGAGAAATACAACGCACACTGTTGTCAACGTTGTAAGGCGAGATCTACATGGAAATGACAAGGGCATCATGTTTCCATTTCTGAGGACTGAAGTTTACTTTGAATAGCAATAGTTTTCCTTCTTTTTCTGGAAAAGCTGTAAGGAAGAACTTAGCTGGTCGTAAAAGGTGTAAGTTCCATTCTCTCTCTGGCCTAACAGATACACTGTTCACACATAGTTACTACGTGGGAGAAATATCAAGTGTAGAATTGAGCAGTTCATGATGAAATAAATAGTTCTTAGGAACTTTTGTCTTCTTTTTCATCTACTTTCTGATCTGGCCCTCATAAAAGTTGGGTAAATATGTAACTGGCCTCAGACTCACACCTGAGACATTTGATCAGGTAGCATGTTAACACTGACCTCTAGCTGTGAGACTGTGATCCGATGAGGGTATGGAAGGTCTATTCTTTCATTCAGAGTGACAGCTCAATGGAATAAAACATGAGGTAGAAGTGGACCTGTAAAGGCTTTTAATTTAAAATATTTGCTAACTGGGGCAATTGGGACAGGTAAAGGCATCTCTGCCAGCTGAGTTTGACAACACGGACCAGGGACCACACCAGGGAGAGGATGGATGCCACAAACACATGGCACATGTATCCCCAAATATACAAATAAATAAGTAAATACAAACAAATATGAAAAAATAAATAAATGAAATCATTTTCAAATGTGCTTATTGCTATTAGCAAATATATTTCCTGGATTTCTTTAAAAGCTGTTTGCATGTTTAGACACTTCTAAGAAATTATTTCAAGGCATAAAATGAAGACTAAGTTCCCCCACTTGGTACAGCAGAAGGCCCTGAAGGAATATGCTAAGACATGTGGGCTGAGATCTGATTACACCCTTGACACTGTATCTCAGAACTGAAATATTATTTTCCAACAAAATATAGAAAGACAGAAGATCTGAAGAAGCAGCATGGGAGAGAGAGATGGCAAGTTACTGTATAAAAAGAAACACGTGAGGGGGCTTACAGGCAAAAAAAGCAAAGATGTCACATCAGAAAAGAGAACACAGTTCAAAAAGCAGGGAACAAATTTTGAAGGAAACTTGAGAAAGGAAATGAGGCACAAAAATTCTTTTCCAGGAAGTGTTTGGGGAAGCCCAATTAAAGTTGTGCTCCTGTGAGGAGGCAGCCACTAGAGCCCCTTCCTGTCTCCTCATGCCCGCCCTGGAGCTCTCCTCAGAAGATCAGAAAGGTCAGGCAAGAGTCACTTTTGTCAGGGCCACAGAGTGCGACAAAGCACCGACACTACCCTGAGGCCTCAGAATTATCACCCGTAGGGTTAAGGAGTCTTGACTTCCCAGGCAGGCGCTGCCCCTACAAATTTTGTTTCTAAATATAGGTAGCTAGGATGAAGAGTTACTGTAAAACTCTAAAGCAGCTCCTCCATCCAAAGGGCCTCTATGGTGAGCGACAATACGGACATTCCACATTTGCACGGTCTGATAGGATACACACATGGGTAGCTAGGAAGCATTTAGCCCGAGACCAACACTAAGGAACTAAATTTCTCTCGAACTCCATCTTAATTTAAATGCAAACAGCTGTGTTTGGCTGGTGGCATCCATACTGAGTTTATAATTACCAGGCTCAGGAGAAGTCCTGGCAAAGAGTCAGCACTCCACAGTGGGGAAACAGTGAAGAGAAATCCATGTTGAAATTCTCACAAGCTACAGTATTGGGAAATGTGCTCATCCTCTCTAAACTTCAATTTCCTCATTAATGAAATGGATATATATAACAGCTCCCATAAAGAGCTCCTATTAAAAATAAATGAAATAGAGTCAATAAAATCTCCAGCAACAGGAGATATCCAGTAAGTAATAAAAACCCCACTGGCCACTTAGCACTCATCTGAAAAGTTACAGACCACATAGTGTTGATGACAGTTTAATTTTTATCATTATTAAACCTAGGAAATTAGGCCAACGAGAAAATTTAAGTTGTAACTATTCAGAGAGAAATATCATAAGTATTTCAAAGAGAGTGTTAGAACAGCATAAGCAGAAAGCTTTTACAATAGTAACTGGAAGGCTTTAACCTCCACTACACATACTCAGTAACTGTAGATATTCAAAAGCTGATGTCAGAACGGCACTGAGAAAAGCAAAACTTTTCTTGGCCTTGCTATTAACCCATGGCAGGAGACCACAGGGAGGATTATAATCCTTTTCCCCCAGAATACGACATGCTTTGTCTCATTTTCAGGAAGATAGTCCAAACAAAAAACTTCTAATGAAACTTTCTGTGCCCAATACTCAATGAGTGTTCAGGAAAAGAGGGTGGAGCTTCAGGTTATCTTTCATGACCTGCCATTCTGGACCCAGCCCTCAGTGCCAAATTCACCGTGAGAAGCAGAAAATTGGTGCAAGAGGAAAATTCCTGCCCTGTTGTTGTCTATTTGCTTTCCTAACAACTATACTGTAAACTGCATGGCCAGGGCTGGGGAGCTCATGAGATGGTTCACTGGGTGTGAGTGCTTGCTCCGACACCATGAGGACTTGAATTCGAATCCCCAGCTCTCAAAAAAATCCAGGATGGCTATGCATGCACCCAATCCACATGGAGTAAAACTGAGATGTATAAATAAAGAAATCAATTCCTAATGACATGATTTGGGTCACTACTTCAAGTTCTACTTCAAATTTAGAGGCAGCCTTTAAATGAGTATGTTTAAAACTTTTATGCCAACTAGTTTGGGGTGAGTTTTGTCATTTGCAGAAAGCATTTCTACTAGCCACTCAAGTGAATGCACACGGACACATCTTTGCTCCTACGAGGAAATGCATTTTAAATGTCAGCTTAAAAAGCAGGGCACTATCAACATAACAACCTGATTAGTCAGCTGGCTACATACCTGCAAACAAAAAGACATTGTTTAATCAACATTTCCCAGGTGTCCTAAACTGAGTTAAGGAGGAAGGATTCTTCAAGTACGGGAGGAGGAACTTCAGGAACTTTATTCAGTGCAACTCAATACCCTATTTCTCTATATAGATACTAAATACAATAAATACAGAGAAAGCGATTTGGAAATGGTATCTCTGCTATTTTTAAAGGAACATGTAATATTTTCAGTTCTACAGTCCACACATTTTTCTGGTTTTAGGCCTAGTTATCTGGAAACTTGTACTAAAGAAAACTGTGAGCAAGTATGAAAAGATATACATGTAAACTGCATGCATGTATGAGAACACAACCCACATCTACTGATACAAAGTAAAAGCGCCGAAAATAATTACAGAATATCCTGTTGAGTCAGGACCTGAGTGTTGAAGTCCATGTGGCCGTTTGTTCAGATCACAACAGGGAAAACAGCAGATGTTATCAGTGGTTATCTTTGTGATGAAATTTGCAGGAGATAGGATCTTTGCTTCTTTGCACTATTCAATTTTTTAAGACAGCGAGGATGAACTACTTCTTGGTTTGTTTGTCTTATTAAGTCTAAATTGATTTTAGAGCCTTGCTCTCACCATGGAGCCCACGCGATCCTTAAACTATTGATTCCCCCTGACTCATACTCTGAGAGTTGGGATAAGAAGCATGCCCCACCATGACCCCAGAAAATGTACTAGTTTTACAATCAGTACAAAGTAAACAAACAAATCAACTTTTCTGATATTGATATCAGAATAAAAGAACTCAATGGTCTTTTTGTTATGAGCCTAAGAAATAAAAGGAAAATATCAAAGATAAACTACAAAAGATACTCCTCAAAACACATCTTTTCAGGCTGTGAACACACATATAAACAACAGTAACTCAATGCATGACTTGATTCCACTGACTCAATGAAAAGAATAAATAAAAGTTAAAGTTCTTTACAGCTCTGTATAGACAGGAATCAGTTAAAGGTCACATCCAGAATTCAAAGGAAATAAGCTATGTAACTAGAGAACCAGCATCACAAATGCATGTGATCCAGCTGATTACAGCCTTCAACAACGAAAATTTTTGAATGCGTCTTCTGTAAGTTTGCTTTGAGGGAACAGAGCCATTTGGTCAATGTTCCACTACTGTAAGATATTTGCAATGCTCTTTGCTGATGTCTTCTCAATAATCGATAACGTCACAATGTTTGACACATTCTGGTAGAAGTCAATAAAAACTATAGGAAAGGACAAAACAGTATTCCACCTCTAGTTAACTATCAAAACTGACATAAAATATAATTATAGGGTCTGGAGAGATGACTCAGTGACTAAGAGCACTTACTACTCTTCCAGAGGACCTCAGTTCAGTTCCTAGCACCTACGTTTTGTGCTCACAACCATCTGTAACTCCAGCACCAGGAAATCTAACAACCTCCAATGGCCTCTTTCAGCAGCCACACACAGCCACACACATACTGTGTATATACTTTGTGTGTGTGTGTAACATATTTAAATATATAAACAACTATTGTATCACTCATAAATAGCTCCCAAAACTAGCCTCTGAAAAGTCTCTTTCAGTTTGTTATTCTGAGTTCTATTTGCTTAATAGTTAATTCTTTTTGGAAGCATTCAACTTTCAATAGTAACACAGAAGGAACACAAAAGGAACACAGAAAGCCCATGGAGCCCACTGAGTCTAGACAAGAGGGCAGCTGGGTAGGCAAAAAACAGCTCATAGTCCTGATAAGAAACAACTGTGATTCTAATCGTCATTGTTGGATGAATTATTCCAAAATTCATAAGCACATTCTAAGAAAAAGAATCAAGGTTTGCACTAAAGGATCTATTTGAAGCAATTGTGTTTGGGGGAAAAATAGGAGGAATCTACAAGTTCAAAATTAAATAGTTATGTATGGCTTATAATAAAGTACTAAGTGGCTTTTAAAATTATTTTAATTAAAAAGTTTCAAGATGGCCTGGAGAGATGGCTCAGATGTTTTAAAGTCTAGGCTCACAACCAAAAAATTTCAAGACATGGGGAAAATGCAAACCCTGCAAAGTTAATAAAGCAGTTAGAACAAGTTTCTCTAATTTGCTTAATTTTAAAGTGATAAATGAATGTAAAGACCAGAAAAAAGCAGTGAAACATGCAATATTTCTAACCTAGTAGAGATTTAAAAATCAATATTTGTTGAAAAACATGTACAAACTCAATCCACTGGAAACTGAATGCTTCTTAGCCTACTGTTACTTGTGGTACTAAAAAGGGGAGCAGAGAAGTTTCTGTTTTATATTTGTGTTAGCAGAACAGACATACACACATCCAACGTTTTTTCACTGCGTAAGTGTCTAGCATACAGTACATGGCAATGGAGTTCACAAAGTAAGAGTTTTTGAGTCAATGTCACAAAAAAAATGGACAAAGAAGTTAATTAAACAGTCCCAAAACGAGAGTGGCAGCAATCTGATTTGTCAGGCACCTTACTCTATCTTTAATTTTCGAGGTCTCTTTCTGGAAGTCCTATTTCACACATTTAAAACCAAGCAACAGGTTCAAAACTGCAAAGCCAAAGTCACACTTTTGAAAAAATTTGATCCCCGTTCCCTGGCATCTGTGTAGGCCTGCAGAAGGCACGTTTCTTGTCACGGACTTAACCATGCTCCCTCCCCTTTTCGCTTCCCCTACACACTAATTCTAGTAAATTTCTATCTTGAATTGTAGTTATCGCCTTGCTCCAACCCACCCCCTCCTGTTTTCGTGCCTTCCTCCAGGCTCAGAGACAGCCAGCCTACAATTTGGGCTTTGGCACTGAGCAAAGGGGTCCCCTCTCTCCTTAACTTTGTCTGAACCAAATTAAGTTCATTTGACTTCCCAGACCCAAGGATCCCGCCTCACAGACAGTACCCTGGGGCGTCCAGCCTGCTTAGGCTACAAAGCTTGGGGCCAGAATAGGGGAGTCCCAACCTTGAGGGGCCGGCCTGGCGGCGGTGAAGTGGTTTCCAGGGCAACCGAGGTCAGCAGCCACCAGGTCCCGCCCCGCCCTCCGCCCCTCGGAGCCTCGTGAGCCGGAACCTGCGGCCCGGAGTGAATCAATGAGAAGTTTTCTGTCCGCTCTCACCTCGCAGCGCGTGGTGCATGCCACCAATGCCACTATACAGCTCCAAGACACGCAGAGGCTCCATGCCTCGCCACCGCGACCGCGGCCTGGAAACTAGGCCTACCGGTCCTTCGTTTCTCTTACCCCCCCTTCCGCTCCGCCCCCTTCGCTTCTGGTTCCGCGGCTTTTCAGTTCCCCAACCTCCTGTTGCTAGCTCAGGCTGGAGACTAAGACAGCAGCTTGGAGCCTGGGGCCTGTGCAGGGGTGCAGAAGGGGATGAAGGGCAGACAACTATTAATATGGCCTCCCAAGTGAGAGACAGCCTCTTCGCCTCCTGAGTTGTGCTTTATCTTCCTTGTTTGTTGTTTTCTGTGACCTTGAGTGAGAAAGAAACCCCTCAGTAGAGAACTGAAAACGCCCTCGACTTTGAAGTGAATTACTGATTAGAGTCGTTTTTTAACGGCAGGCTCCTTTTGCTCTTTTCAACTCTGAACTGATCAGGTATTTCTTTGAGGACTCTTGAGCGCACACCCGCATGTTCCCTGGTGTGCCTATTCTACAGTATGGAGTTAAATCCTGGTTACTTTGGCTAGGGTTGTGATTCTCACTTCGGAGTTAAATCTTACCAGGTTCTCCCGCAAAGAAAGGTCCAAAATTACAAGTATTTAGAGCAGAGCCCTGGGGAAGCATTGATAATAGAGAGGATGTTTTCTATAAATGATAATAGGATTAATTTTATTTTACCTTGGTAAAAACCCCAACATAGGCTTTTTTTTTCTTTTATTGAAAATTGGTCTCTTATCCCCCCTTGCAGAATATATCCCGATTACAGTTTCCCATCCCTCTACTTCTCCTAGCTTCTTGATACCTCCATCCCATCCAGATCCACCCCCTTCTTGTCTCTCATTAGAAAACAAACAGGCTTCTAGGGAATGAAATAAGATAAAAACAAAAACTAACACATTGTTATTTAGCAAAGCAAAAAGAAAGAAAGGTGCCTGAGAGAAGGCACAAGAGACAGACCTACTCATTTGCATACTCGTAAAAACACTAACCTGGGAACCATCGTGTATATGCAAAGGACCTGCTGAAGGTAAAGAGAAGAAAAAAATACATAAATAAAATAAAAAGTATTAAGACGAAATTTTAAAAAAAGGAAGAACCTGAAACAGCATTATGAGACAAGGAAACTAAAAAGATGCCACTGAGTTCATTTTTTGTTGGTCAGTTACTGTTGGGCGTGCAGCCTACCCTTAAGAGTGGGTTGTTTCCCCAGTGAGACTCCCTTGGGGGAAACTACATTTTCATTTGCAAGTGGTTATGAGTTGGAAGTTAGTTCTGGGTTAGGGATGGAAGTTTGTATCTACTTCTCTAGAACCCTACCTGGAACAAACCTGTGCAGATCTTGTGTGTGCTACCTCAGTCTCTATGAGTTCAATGTGTGTCAATCATGTTGATTCAGAAGGCCTGTTTTCCTGGTGTCCTCCATCTCCTCTGGCTCTTATATTGTTTTCATCTCCTCTTCTATGAAGCTGCCTGATCCCTTGGGTGAAGAATTTGATAGAGAAATCTCATTTACAGCTAAGTGTTCCAGGGTCCCTTAGTCTGATTGATGTCTGGCTGTGGGTCTCTATTAATTCCTTTCTGCTACAGGAGAAAGCTTCTCTGATGATAGCTGAGCAAGGCTCTGGTCTATGAGTATAGCAGAAAGTCAGTAGGAGTCATTTTGACCCAAGTGCTCCCAAACAACCCAGGCTGTTGCCAAAACTATAAGTTGCTTTCCACAAACTGACAGTGAGGTCCCATTACTGAAGACAACACCTGAACAACTCATTGAACATGGAGAAGTTGAGCTGGTGCTCACATAGAGTCTCCACCTCTGTGTGCTAACTTCTTAGGCAAAGGAAGGTACGCTGCATGCAACCAACATAGAAGCACAAACACCAACCCAGCCCTAAACCTTTGATCTACAATGTTGTCCTCCCTGCAAGTTATGTTACTGCGATGATGGCACAAATTTTGTCAGCATAACCAGTCAATATCTGACTTGACTGTAGACCCACTCCACAAGATGTAACCCATAGCCAACACTGCTAGATGACCAGCAACCTGAGACTAAACAGCTCAGGGACCTAGGGGGAAAATCCAAATACTACTGTTCTAAAAAGGAATCAATTAATTTCTCATAATGCCCCACATATGCTATTAGCATCACATAGCCACTGCTGTTTAGAGGCCTCTAAGAGTTAGGGCTATTCCTCAATATATAGTCAGTCCCAGGCTGAGTTGAGGAGACTCCACTGTGAACAGAGACTAAGCATCCATTTAGAGAAAAGGACATATTCTTATCATGCATGTCTCTTTATTTCTTCTCAGAGTCACCACAGTTAACTTTAGGTCTTATCAGGAGGAATTTGAGAATATGATTTGTAATAAATGTATCTGACTCATTAGAAACTTTGCATGCTGACTCATGTCATGTTGTTACTAAATGTATACTAGTATATCTGAATTTTAGAACTGGTTGATACATCTTGTTGTGTTCTATAAAATTAAGTTTTTAATTAATCAATATACATTGTCCTTTATGTGTGCTGCATTTACTGGTCACTTATTTACATAAAAAAGGGGCATCATGTGGTAGAAAGATAACTAGGATTTAGCCTTGGCATTGCCAGTAACTGGCTGTGTGACTTTGAGATAGCCTGATTTCCTCTTCTGAAAGATGGACAGGAAGAGGGAACAGATGGTTACCAAGAGCTTTGCAGTTCTAGTACACCATGGGTGAATTAGTATCTGAAAAAGTAGGCTCTGATTTAGCCCCGTGTTCAAATTGAGATGTCTAGACAGAAGGCTTTTTAAATGTCTTAAGAAAATAAAGAATTTAACCAATTCAACTTATAGAAACTATATGTACTCTAACATAATTGACGAAAAGCTTTTCTAAGGTCAACTATATAATATTAGTATCACCAATAAATATCCATACATAAGATATAAAGGATAATATATAGTCTCATATATTTATATACATTCAACAACCAAACTAATATTAAATTAATCAAGAATCTGTTCAGCTGGAAACCTAAGTAAATACGACCAAAGATCTTGCTCTGTAGAGAAGGACAGTATAGACAAATATGACAGAGTTAATGAAAATAACAGCTTCCAGACTTCACACTGACTGGTGACATAATGATAAGGACATTTACGCATCTTCACAATGTGGCCTTAGCTTTTTCTTCTTTCTTGGCACTCCCCAAACCTCCCTTCTCTTCTCTGCTTACATTGTCTGCTGTGTTCTTTGCCTTGCCTAGAAATCCCATGGAAACTTCCTAAGAGATTCTTAGGATAGAAAGTCCAGTTCGTTTCTATTGCAGGGGCTCCTTAACTGCTGAAACGTAGCTCTCCTTGTTTCTAAAACCAAACCCTTTCCATTTTCTCTGGCCCAGTTTTCATATCACATGAACTATGTCTTTAGCATCATAGTTCTTCTCTAAAGTTAACCACATGTGATAGTTACTTCGAAAATGTAAATTAGGGCTAGAGAGATAGTTGGGGGGCGGTAAGGGCTTTTGTCACCAAGCTTGACAATCTGAGTTCAATACCCAATGCCAGCATGGCAGAAGGAAGAACAGACCCCTGCAGGTCATCCTCTGACCTGTAGTCATGTACTGTCACACACATGCGCCAGTGCATGGGCACACAGGCACATTCATACCTGTCAGGAAAGAACAAAGACTTCAGAATAATAATTTCCAGTGCTCTCCATGGAAGCCTTCGTAGATGGCAGGCCCTCTAGAGTCCAGCTGATGTGCAGATTGTGTTCTTTGGGAGGTAATAGGGAGGCTTGCATAGTGGCAGCACAATGGGGAGTCACTGAATAAAAGCGTAAGATTAGTAGATAGAAGAAAAAATTAAAAATAGAAAAAATACCAAAACTTGGAATTTTTAGTGAATTGTTGCTTGCAGTGGAAAATTTATTTCTAAATCAATGTACATGAGCACCAAGAAAATAAAGGTATATATGTAAAATACATCACAAATTGAGAGTTTGAGGTCAGCCTGGTCTAAAAGAGCTAGTTCCAGAACAGGCTCCAAAGCTACAGAGAAACTCTGTCTTGGGGGGAAAAAACCCACAAATAAATAGACACAATATAATACCAAGGAGTATATTAAAATAATAATAGCACATTCTCAATCAGTAAGGGGGTTTGTTGCACATCTTGGAATCCTTCTTTCTCTCCTGCCCATCACTATTATCTATTAAAACTCACCAAAGTCTGCCAAATGTTTAACATAGATTTGTCAATCATCTTTGACCTTTGGTTGTTCAAGTGACTCTTTATTTGCAACTGAAAGGTGACTTGGATTCCTATACAGACTCACATCCCAAGAGCCATGCCCTGCCCATGCCAGCTTCAGGAAAGAGCAAGTAACATTCTGGTCTACACAGAAAAGGAATGGTTCCTGTCAGTGTCAGAGGAAATGAAAAAGTCATCATTTAGAATAAATTAACAACAAATGTCTGATGGAGGAAGGTCATTGGCTAATAAAGGAACTGCCCTGGCCCATTTTATTGGTTAGAGGATAGGTGGGAGGAGTAAACAGAACAGAACGCTGGGAGGAAGAGGAAGTGAGCTCAGAGACTCCACAGCTCTCTCTCGGGAGCAGACGCCTGAGAGAGACGCCATGCCCCGCTCCCGAGATGAAGCTCCGACCCAGAATGAACTAGGCTAGAATCTCCCCGGTAAGCGCACCTTGGGGTGCTACACACAGATGATTAGAAATGGGCTAAATTAATATGTGAGAATTAGCCTAGAAGAGAATGGGCCAAGCAGTGTTTAAATGAATACAGTTTGTGTGTTGTTATTTCGGGGCATAAGCTAGCCGAGCGGGCGGCTGGGGTGCTGGGGAAGCGGCCCCGCCGCTCATATTACTTCAAATGTCCTCAGGAGAGGAAATTACATTCAGAAGAAAGGTTTGGAAGTTACCTTTAGAGTATGCCTCTGTACTGACTTTGAAGAAATGATTCTATAATGGACTGTGTTGTGGATATGAGTGCAATCTCAAGAGCCAGAATATAGATGAGAAAGACAATCCCGCATTTCC